AGCTTTATCCAAGTTATAATAAACCAGAATTTACAATTTATTATAATATTATTTCTCTTTTGGGTTCTTAGTGGAACATAGGGCTTGAGTAACACGTTGCCATTTCGGTCTCTTCTCTTCAGTCTCCTTAACCTGGCTCCACAACTGCTCACAAGCTTTCATTTCTTCCTCACACCATCTCCTCCATGTCACCCTCACCTCGAACTCCCAACTCGTCGTTTCCCATTTGATTCCCACTCGACGGCCTGGCCTGACACGTGATGTCCCCAAACCATCTTCTCACTGTATGTCCAACTCAATCGAATCCAATGCATCTCCACTTTCTTCTGTAGATTTGTTGAGCGATGGGTTGTCGATTGGTTGGTTCGTTGTCAGGCCAGAGTTCCTCCTTGTTTATTGTTTCTCGCCTTCTACTGTGATGTTTCGTATGGAGTGAGGGAGCGTAGGCAGCATCTGTTGATGTGATATGAAGTGAGTGATGTGATGTGTCTGAGGTTAGTTGTGAATGCTTTTCGTAAGGCGCCATGTCTCTCAAGCATCACATATAAGCACTGACTTACTCGACTGAGATTAGTGTTGAAAATGTGGATGTTGTTCACTTTTATGCTGAGTAGAGTGGAGTGGAGTGAAGTGAAGTTGAGTGGAGTGGAGTGGAGTGGATCTCCACACTGATTTCAGAATAATGAAGGAATGCCTGTCTTGTTGTCTTTCTGATCCTGACTTTGACATCATTATCTGTGCGTATATATGATAACTTGGCTAGTGTTTTTCTTCATGAATGATTCTACGTAGACACAATCGCTGAATAAAGATGATGTCCATATGTAGTGTGTTATGTGTGAGATGGCTGTATGAATTAGAGATTGAAATTTGTATCTGAATATGTGTTGATAGTTCTTATTGCATAAATGATGGTCATGGGATTGAATTCAGATCAGGTTCAGTTACGTTTTACTCCCTCACTCCTATTTAGATGATTTCTATTCGACTTTATGTGAAAAGATTCTGTTATGAGAGGTTCTTTATAAGTTCTAATGCCTTTCTGAATAATTTCGATATTAGAAGAAGACATAATAGCGAACAATATTGTTTTCAGTTAGATCCTCTACAGTTTTTACTCCAATACAGTTAGTTTAATATGTATATAAAATTTAACCGATCATGTGTATTTGTCGGTTGATGTGATTAGTGTTTTAAAGTAACAGTAGTGATTATAATACAAATAATAATAGTAATGATAAAAGTGATAATGTTGACTAAAGCACATGCAATATAAGTAATGATATTGATGATAAGAACCAAGAAAGCAGCATGAGAATGTAGGCACTCCAGCAATCATCAAAATCGGTCAAAAGCTTGTAAAACTAAACGTTATGTAGTGCTGGAGAATGAGGTAAGTAGATAAGCAAAGTCTTAACAAATACAGTGAGTATTTGAAAGGGATAGGAAAAAACTGAATGACACAGTTATTAATTAAGTATTTCCTGGCCAAGGAATCTTCTTTTGGATACAAAGACTGGGACTGTTATCTCGAATTCTCACAGTTTGTAAAAGACACGTTCGAAAGCCTTTTGAAAGATGTGGTATGCGTTACTTTTTTTAACTCGGTCTCCAAATGTAGGGATAAGGTTAAACAACTAAGCTGATTATTGCGTACGCCTAGCCACCGTCTGCCTCGTAGCAAAATGTTGGTCGAAGTAGGTTCAGGCTAGAAAAAGGCTCGGGGCGGCCAGACTAAACCATGGCATCAATTCATGAAGTCCTTGACTGTACATTTGATTCATGTAAGGCGATGCAGACCATCTGATTGTTGTCCACGAGACAAGAGGAACCAGTGGTTGGAGACTGTAGGTGATGTGGCCCAGAACCGATGTCAGTGGTCCAGATGCATACACATAATATCCTCATCTTAACCGGTACTTTATTCGATGGATTTTTATTTCCTTCTTCATCTTCATCTCCCAATTCACTTCCTTTTTACTTGGTGTGCTAATATGAAATGAGGTGTGGCAACTGAGTTCGTTACGCAGTAATCCCTGGTCCTATATTGGTCTTCATGATGACTGAGGCTGTCAGTTGTTTATTGGTACTTGTAATGTCGCGTTGCTCCACTGGATGAATTGCTCGACCTCTGACGAGTCCCAAATAGAACGAAATGCGCGTCATAAATTCCGCTGGTTGTCATCAAATAAACCACAATATGGTTGGACATTTTAACTTGTTCCTGTAGTACCTTTTCAATGGTCACATCGTAGATATAGAGATAGATGATATTGATGAGCACCAGCATACCAGTCCTTTTGATAGACTGTCGGATATCTCTCCAATTTCAGGAATGGTATAAGTTTGAAAATGCTAAACTCTCTTTTTGTTTCTGTCTTTAGATTTCAGCAGTAAACAGAGGTGATGCAATTTCGTAAACATATAAAGTGGTTGACTGACCCACACTCAACTATTAGGTGTCAGTGCAACCTATCGTGAAGAATCGGTGATGAATACAATGATATGAAGCAAAACAAACATTCGTAGCAAGCTAGTTGGTTGGAAGCAATTGGCAGGGAACCCTACTCGACCTAGGTTTCTTGCTTGTTGGCAATCGTCAGCAAAACGAATCTGTAACCTCGAGGTAAATGATGCCCCCTGTGAGATTCGAACCCGTATCATTCAGTGTTGCAGTCAGTTATGTTAAAAAGTGACGAGTAATGTATGCATAGAACTCTGACACTATGGTAGAATATAATTCCATATTAGATTTGCTTATTTAATGTTATACAGGGTAACAGATGGAGCTGTTCAATACGCCGCCGTAACCAAAGTTTGTCACGGAATTGTGGTTCATTGGTGACTGACTTTTAACCAGTGCGTCATGGGTTCGAACACCGTTCCATCTACCAAGATTTGACCAGCTAGGTGCTATCACTTACTCTCACTCAATAGCTGTAGGTCATTGCACTGTATTATGGTTTCATATGTTGCACGTCAGTCAACAGATTACATGACTGTGGGCTCTCATGAGCAAAACGTGTTCCTTCAATGATTGGAAGTTGAGTCACTCATTGCTGAAGTCTACGACTTGATGGCCTAGTTCAAATCTGTCAAGAGGTCACAGATTCTCATAAAAGCTTATTTATTTATTTTTACGTTCTTAAATTATCGTTTTTTGCTCCCTTTTTACACCATAGTCAATTATTTATCTCTTCTCTTTTTCACTGACAATTCACTGATTGGTTAACGCTACTACTGTTAATGTTCTAAATTGTAGATAACATCACATACTATGTATCATATGCACATATGTTTTGGGTTATTAAAAGAATCTTGTTAGAGGTAATGAACTCTTCTATGTAGGTCAGCCTTCTATCTATTTTCACTTGAGGTTTCGAGTATTTAATATGAAATGTACAAGTTAGCTGTTAGTTAAAAACATGCATATTACATAATACTTGTAAACATAATGAAATCGTCGAGAGAATATTAATTTCCTCATGATTGTAGACTTGTGTCATTGATGAATGTCAACAGGCATAAAACTGTGGTCAAATAAAGATTCCTGCTGATTTAACATTGAAATACAGTATTATTTACTTATTACCTTTTGTGATTATGAGACATATATTGAGCTGGAAATGTCATCCAGTAAATTGTACTTTATATTAATATATAGAATGGTGGTGATGACCATAATCAGCGTTTTTCAGTGTATAGAGCTCCTGTCTTTTATTTGTTGTCTATGTTTCACCCTCCATCACTGACCTAACCACTCTCATCTTCTACTTGACATAAATGAAGATGATATTATTATTATTATTATTATTATTATTATTATTATTATTATTATTATTATTATTATTATTTATACATAGAAACGGTATTCTCTGTGTCCATTTTTCAGACTTTTTGATGAGTTAAGTAAACATCGATGTATCTTGTGATCTCGATTGTGAATTTTATTTATCGTTTACTAATCGTTTTCGATTTTGTAAAAAAAAAGGTTTGAATGATTTTAGAGATAGCCAACATCGCATGTCTTTTTTTTGGTATGGTAAAATCTGCTATAAATCAAGTAGGTAAGAAGGTGTAGTTTAGGTGGGTATTGCTTTTCAGGAGTCTCTAACACTCACCAGCCTAGTCACTAATCAGGTAACCGATTCGTTTTACCTAAATTATCTGAAAAGGTTATTTTTCTTTTTCATAAAATAGGAAGACTAGTTGGTTATTTCAGTAGTCAATCTGGTGAATTTTAGAGTTACTAGCTTTATAGGGGCATTGCCTAGTGATTCACTTTAACAGTGACTGGAACAGCCAATTAGGTTTTTTTTTATTTCGGTTAGAGAAGCAGATCCTCGTAAAATCAAGAAGTCTTATTGGTTATTACACTTGATTTTAGGTTGGCCTTTACCATAAGTCAAATTGACTCACTTCATCATCATCAACATAGAATCAGGCATTACTGCCCAACGGTTCAAGTTGTCACACTCCATCTCATATCAGCTTATCAAGTAACAAGGCAATAAAATAGAAGATGAAGATGGAAAGAAAAATCATTCGAAGGAAGTAGAAAGCAGTGAAAGAGAGGAGGAAAGAATGACATAATAAGATTGAGTGTAGCGGTTGTGATGAAGATAATATATGTGTATGCATCTGCGCCACTGACGTTGATCCTGAGCCATATCGCCTAGAGTCAGTCTTCAGCCGCTAGTTTCTCTTGTCCTGTGGACCTCAATCCTCTATTCTAAATCGCCCTATATGGGTCAAACAAACGATTAAGGACTTTATGTATTGATGCCATATTTTAGTGTGGCTTCTGCGAAACTTTTTCCAGTCTGAGACTGACTGATAGCCTCTTATGAAACGATGATCACCATTAGACAGGTAGTTTAATTTTATATTTTGAAAATGTTGTATATTAGCATACAGGCATCAATAATGATCTAACTGAAGAAAAATTTCTTCGTTTACATATTGTTTGTTTTAATTTTCTTATATTTCAATTTCATCAGTCTAGTTTACCAGGTATAGAGAATAAATCTGGACAAAATATTATTGAGAAATCAGCTCCAATTTATCCATTGGTCTGTCGATCATCAGGTGATAATATACTTAGTGTATATAAAATGGTTATGGAATTTATTGAAGCTGTTGAATGGGAAATGATTAAGTATGCAGAATTTACAGGACTACATTCTACAGGTTTTTTACAGTCGTAAGTATGTGATACAATTGTTAAATACTGTGTGTGTGTGTGTGTGTGTGTGTGTGTGTGTGTGTGTGTGTGTGTGGTTATGAAGTGAAACTATGGCTCATCGATGTTATGAGTACACTTGCAACCAGTAGTCACCATGATCAATATCCATATGACACAAGGGATGCTTCAAGTCGCCATACCTCTTATCAGAACACCGAGTAACAAGGTAATCAGATGAAAGTAGTGGGTGGGATAAAGGAAGAATGAGAAAATGATGAGATTAAGTATAGCGCTTAAGTGGATACATCTGCACCACTGGTTTCTGGTGTCATTGTTATTATTTGTCCTTTAGGTTCCTAATGGAACATAGGGCTTGAGTAACACGTTGCCATTTCGGTCTCTTCTCTTCAGTCTCCTTAACCTGGCTCCACAACTGCTCACAAGCTTTCATTTCTTCCTCACACCATCTCCTCCATGTCACCCTCACCTCGAACTCCCAACTCGTCGTTTCCCATTTGATTCCCACTCGACGGCCTGGCCTGACACATGATGTCCCCAAACCATCTTCTCACTGTATGTCCAACTCAATCGAATCCAATGCATCTCCACTTTCTTCTGTATATTTGTTGAGTGATGGGTTGTCGATTGGTTGGTTCGTTGTCAGGCCAGAGTTCTTCTTTGTTTATTGTTTCTCGCCTTCTACTGTGAAGTTTCGTATGGAGTGAGGGAGCGTAGGCAGCATCTGTTGATGTGATGTGATGTGTCTGTAGTTAGTTGTGAATGCTTTTCGTAAGGCGCCAAGTCTCTCAAGCATCACATATAAGCACTGACTTACTCGACTGAGATTAGTGTTGGAAATGCGGATGTTGTTCATTCTTTATGCTGAGTGGAGTGGAGTGGAGTAGATCTCCACACTGATTTCAGACTAGTGAAGGAATGCCTGTCTTGTTGTCTTTCTGATCCTGACTTTGACATCATCATCTGTGCCACCGCCTGTAGTTGAAACGATGCTGCCTAGGTAGGCAGGTGAAAGAAACTACTTGCTTTAGATTTCTCCTGTCGATGGTGAATGGTGCTTGTTGTTGTTCCGGTGTCACATGGACTTCAACTGGCTGGTCCCCATCTCCCAAAATGGGTTAGACCAGCAGTCAAGTACTGTATGCATTGATGCCATGTTTTAGTCTGGCCGCCTGATGTGACTTACTCGGAGTAGGATGTGGGTTCTAATTATATAATGCAACGAGATACTTGGACTGGATACGAGTAATGCCACTGTTCTCCCCCACACCTGTTACTTCACTAAGCCGCGAAAATCAGAAGACAAAAGACGGACCTGTGACTGACTTAAGTTAGACGACTTTATTTGACAAAAAAACATGGTATTTATATTCTTCTGATACTCAGAAAATGAAGCCACTAGATCACCAATCAGCTGAAGGACAAAATTGTTCATTAAAATTATTTTGACCAATTAAGATCTGTAAGGAAAGTATTTCTACTCCAACGGCAAAGCACTATCTCTAGTCGCCTAAATCTACGCTGACGTTTTCATATTTAAGCTTTCGGCATCCGAACCATATGAAAATTTGAAAGACAGGCCTTATTAACCATAACTTTAAAATCTCGGATCGTTGTTGCACGCTAAGCTTTTGAGATTGGTATACAGCAAGCATCAAGTGTGCTTAGTCACTTAACCCTAAATATCAATATTGGGAATCCGAAAAAGGTACCTTCTTTCCATTCACAGACCGATTTAGACAAAGCTTAGTTTGAAGAGCGAAAACTCACTTCTAGACTGGATACTTACTGCTTGTCCCTTGTATATCTTCCAGCTGAATGGTGGATCTGTAACAACTAGAATTTACCATGACACTTACCGATGCTTATCTGTATTTTGCTTGTGTACGCCCAATGACAGCACTTTCACTTATGTAAACGATAAGTTTCAACAAAAGCCGTAGATTTCCCTACACAATAAAACACTTTATGATATGATTCACTTTGGAGGTTTATGAGGATTTATTTATTTCAAGTTTGTGGAACCATTGAAAATATCGGAGCACTGGACAGCTGTTTCGTCCTAGTATGAGATCCTTCAGCAGTGCATATCGATGACCCCGGCAAGAGTCGAATCCATGAACTTCCAATTATGCAGCGAGCACGTTTTTATTAGTCTACTACTCGATCGGAATTCGATGGTCCAGGTTTTCATACTTCTGATATGGTTATACTCACTATCACATTGAATAATACTTCAATAGAAAGCAGGCATATGATGAAAAATCGCCAAATTCTAGAGTATTCATCGATCTAAATCAACATAGGATCAGGCATTACTGCGTAACAGTCCGAGTTGCCACACCTCATACCAGAACATCAAGTAAAAAGCCAGTGAAGTGGAAGATGAAGTAAAGAAAATTCAGTCTCTTGGACCCCAACCACCCAGTCTGCATCGCCCCCCCCCATCCCCCGCCCACATGACTCAAACCAACAGTCAAACACTTCATAGATTGATGCCATGTTTTAGTCTGACCACATCGGGCCTTTATCCACCCTGAACCAACATTGTGTGATGATGCATGTGGCGACTAGACATACCTAACACATGTCCCAATCAGCCATCTCAGTCGATGAAGGTATACGACCGTGTCAACTGACTTACCTCTTCTCCCCGAAACCCTACACCTAACTTGTGAGTTACTCACGTGGTGACACCACGGAATGAAGCGTATACTATGATGACAGTGTTGGTCAAATACCTGAAACCTTCTCATGTCTTCTACCTTTAATTGTTATGTTTGAGAGTTGTGGAGTAGAACAGAGGAGACTGCTGTGCAGCACACATGATCCTTACTAGACAATGGGATATCACGGCGTCTCCATGAGTGACGTAAGTTGGCAAGAGCCAATGGAGACGTTTGTATTCGTGCAGAGATTTCATCGGCCACTGACCAACCCATCAGGGCTGATCCAACTTCCAAGGTTGTGGTTGACACACTCAACCACTACACTCTCTATTGTTAAGCATGGTGGGGCACAGTTGAAGGCCAATCCTGGAGCAACAATCTGCATATGGGTTGTGAGAAACGTATCTCAAACATTCTCAAATTGCCACTGAAGGTGTCCAGAAGACTCTGCATGTTGTCAGCGTCTTTACCTAACAAGATTATGTCATCTGCGTATTCTAGGTCTAATGAGAATTCTCCTGTGATTACGTGAACCTCTGTTTGGTCAGGTGACGAGAGGGAGACCTCCATGAGAATATCTATGATAAAATTGAATCAGAATGGAGACACTGGGCACCCTTGACGGAAAGTAAATTTCATTTCGATATTAACATGTAATGTGTATTTTATCATGTATCCAAGACCTCATCTCTAAAGATTTTAGCATGAAGAGAAATTCTGTAAAACGTGTATTTCTTCATTCGTCAAAAAGATATAATTATCATTTTGACTATCTGTGGGAGATAGCCGTGGTTTGGTAGACTAACATTTATACTTGGTGATGATTGAGGGTGAAATGAAAATTCTAACCACGGTGTGTTTCGAACTAGAGATTACCAGGTTTCTGGCCTGAGGCTCTACCAACTGAGCTACGAGGTCCGATTGCTGAACAGATTTTCATTTCACTTCTATGATCAAGGTGGGTTTCATCCAACTATCATATGAATCTGTCGCTCGATTGTATTCCCAATCCTAATCTGACTGAATTAGAGATGTGCAGCTATCTCTAATAGTCAAAATGATAATCGATGTGATGCTCCCCTTCTTCAATTCAGTTAGATTTGAATTGGGATGACAAGTCCTGACTAGTCAGCCAGTGTGAGTGTACGATCAAGTGGTAGCAAAGTGTTACGAATTCACATAGTAGTCGGGCAAAATCCTTGGTGAATGAAGCGAAATAAAATATCTGGTCAGTAGTCGGATCTCGTAGCTGAGTTTTTATAACACTGAGCTTGAAATCCGGTTGTCTGTGATTTGAATCCGACCTCAGTCCAAATATTCATTTCATCTTCAATCATCACCTAGTATAACATGATATAAGTTGCAAAGATGATGAATTTCGCATCAAGCAAATGAAATAATAAGCTTATGGGCTATTGTGCTAATAAAAATCAATCACCTACATCGTTTGTTAAGTGGTTTCTGATAGGAATCCTTTGGAATGAAGTTAATTATACCAGTTCACTGAAAGGAATCAATGTTGCACTTATATCTAGTTCGGATATATAAGGCCTAGTTGGCATTTTCCAGCTTACGTCATCTCTGACACTGACTGGTGAGATATCCGATTATTTATCAAAAGATGAGTATATTGCTCTGAAGTCTAGTATTACGGTAGAATCACCGTGTAAACAATGTTGAGGTCAGTCGAAGAGTATTCATCAAGTCAGCCTATGACGTTGTAGACTTTTAGCGACTGAGATGGTTTGAACATATACTGCGCATCCTGAGCCACCTTCTACTTCAATGTGTTTGCTAGGGGTAGTTGAATTAGATTGGAAGAGGGTGCATAGTGGCCAGATAAAGACGTGGCAGCAGTTCATGAATTCTCTCAATGATGGTCTTAGCCGCGTGCGGGGGTGTAGACTGCCTTGTTCGGGTCCTGGAGACTGTAGGAATCAGTGGTTGAGAACTGTTGGTGATATTTATGAAAATCAATCACAATAGTGTAGACGTATTTACTCTCTGATGTCTTCCAAAGCTTGGATACTTTTAGTCTACCTTCATTTTCAAATTCCTTCTCCTCCAACTTAGAGTTGTGGCTCAGTGAACTAGGGACATGATTATTAACCGTTAGGTCATGCGTTCGAGCCCCGCTCCACATACCCAGGTTTGGCTAGCCGGATAGTATCAATGTCAGTCTTTGCTGTCCACCTATTCTTTGTATATTACTTTGAAGTGTGACAACTTGAACCAATGCATTTGTGTGTGAGGTTCTACTTTTATTTTTCGCATCTCTTTGCATTTATATGTCTTTCAATAGTCCAGAGGAATGAAACTGATAAATGACCAGTGTAAAGGGATAACAGCCAATAAGAAAACAGCGAACACCTTCCACTATCCAAACTTGGATACACTACACTTTAATGTTTGAGTCGCTGTTCGTAGTGTGACCAAATTTTAAAGAATTCAGAATAGTAGTTGGCTACCTGGAATCGTTCACTACCCTATGACTAGTCACTATACACAAATTAGTTCATGATAGATAAATTAAGTATGGTTGTCGTCGATTGCGGGAGTAATTCTTCTGATTTGTTTAATATTCTTTGCATCTTACACAGCCTTACTGATATCATCCTAAGAAACAATGATTCACTTCCTCACTGGAACTACTGGAATATATGCTTTTAATCGCATTTAAGACTCTTCAGTTGGATGCCTATATATTTCAGTCTTTTGGTAATATTAAGATTTGAACATTTAAAGTACAATAGCTCAGTGAATAACGCCTAGCATGTAAAACCATTGGTTCTGGCTCTGATCCTTAGTGGGAACAACATCACATACTGGGTGCAAGTATATCCAGCTGATGAGTCCTAAACAGGACGAAGTGCGCATTCCAGATTCCACTGCTAATCGCCACTAAGCAAATTATAACATAATAATCAGGTAATATGGATGTATCTGCACAGGTGCTCATCAGTAACTACTAATTCACATCTGAGAGCATTATCATCTGGTCTTGTAAGTCACGCTAATTAAGTCCTCTACATTAGGGGCTGATTATGCCAACACAGAATGTGTACTTTGGTCCAAAAAATTACCAATAACTGGAAAATCTAACATCTCTCTCTCTTTCTATATGATTGGTTCGTACCAGTCATAGCTTTTTGTCAATTATGCTATTCTGAAGTTTTTCTGCTCAACAGGAATTTTTTCTCTGACTACTTATCAGTACTGCCCAATTTGTAATAGTGGAGTTTGTACACAAAGAGTCCACAAATTTAAAATTGTTTCGCTAAGCGAATAAATCTCATCTCCATAGTTATCTATAGTATAGTAGCTATGTTTTTAAATATTACAAATCTACCGACTAGATTGACCAAGAAGTAATTTGGCAGTTGCTTTAACACTATGAAATACCACAAACCTTCATCAATCTCATTCGACAACTATATGAAGATGCCACATGCCGGCCAAGTAATTCACAATGGGAAGCTCAGTGATGCTTTTGAAGTGAAGACAGGAGTAAAACAAGGCTGCCATCTACTTTCACCCACTACTACCCCCATGGTATTCCTGATTGTAGTGGACTGGACCATACAAAAAACAGTGAGGAGTGAGAAGAAGGGGATACGCTGGACTACGGAAAAGAACCTAGAAGATTTGGATTTCGCCGATGATGATTTATGTCTAATGTCTTGTAGCACAAACTTGAAGATCTACAGGCGAAAACTAACAAGTTGACAGAAGAGGCGAGGCAGCAAAGACGGAACTTCCCTCAGGTGAACGTAGAGAAGACAGAGGTGATGAAGCTACTGCACCAACAACAACAAGCACCAATCACTATCAACGGGAGAAACTTAAAGGAAGTAACCTCCTTCACTGTCTCAACTGCAGGCGGCACAGACGAGGATGTCGAAGTCAGAATCGGAAAAGCAAGACAAGCGTTCATTAGCCTGAAACCAGTGTGAAGATCTTCTGCACTCAGCATGCGGAACAAGATCCAGATTTCCAACACCAACGTCAAGTCAGTACTTCTGTATGGCTCAGAGACTTGGTGCGTTACGAAAAGCATTTCCAACAAAGTACGGACATTCATCAACAACTGCCTACGCTGGCTCGTTACTGAAGATCAGATGGCTAGAAAGAATCAGTAACAAGGAACTCTGGGAAAGAACCAACCAAGAACCTATCAGTCAACAAATATGCACTGGAAGGAAGTGGAGATGGATTAGGCATACACTGAGAAGGCCGATTGGGGACTTCACGCACCAGGCCAGGTACTCGAGTGGAACCCCGATGGGAAGCGACGATTTGGGTGTCCGAGGTGAGGGTGACATGAAGGAGGTGGTGTGAGGATGAAATGAGAGCTTGTGAGCAGTCGTGGAGCCAGGTTCAAAAGATTGCAGAGAACAAAGTGGAATGGGGACGTGCTACTGAAGCCCAATGTTCTACTAGGAACTTAAGGGACAAATAATAAGAATAATTATCGAATAGATTACATAGACTCTTCTTCAGTTATGATGGTTTTAAGTACCTCATCTTAATCTGCTTATTATGTTTCAATTGCTTTTAATAGATCCATCTCCCTAGATTTTTGTAATCACAGGTTTAAAAAAAATGAGATATTTCTCTTAATTGAAATTCAGTCCGCAACCATATGTGCTTTCATGTGATAAACAGTGAGGGCTGATGGCACTACCTGGTCTTCTGAACCTATGCCACTGATTAAAAGTTATATGATCAGTTATCTGTGATCTTAAATCATTACATTACTTTGGTTCCTCACAAAATCTCAACTCAGGCACAGATGGCCTGTTTGGTATTTGCCAGATTGCATCATCTGTTGTGACACTGACCCCCGGAGATATCCGACTATCTATCAAAGGTCGAGTATACCGTGCTACAGTCTATGGCTATTGAAGGTAGAAGATATGAAGCGGTTACAGGCCCTTGAAAATATCTTTATGGTATTGCTCACATATGGCAGTATCACTATGTTAGGAATTTGGAAGTTAGGCGAAGAGTAATAGGCAAGACAAGTAAGTCATTCGATGAGGTCGTGAACTATCATAGACTGATGTGGCATACAGATGGGTTATGCATGCATAGCTATCGCCTACCGTTACGTGCAATGCTAGGGGAAATTTTATTAGTTTGGAAAAGGGTTCAGGGTGGTCAGACTCAGATATGGTAGTGGTCAATGTAATCCCTAACCGTTGGTCTGAGTCGTATAGGGAGGTGTAGACTACGTGGTGAGGTTCCCTGAGACGATAAGAATCAGTGGTTGAGGACTCTTGTTGAAATGACTGCAAATCGATCACTCTTTGATGCCTTCTAAAGGTTAAACATTTTCAGTAACCTTTATCCTCTCTTATACACATTTGTCTACTGTGATATCAGTGTTTTTCTAGCCACTTGTTCTTTGTATGCTACTGTGAAGTATGACAGCTTGGACCGATCCAGTTATATACGAAGTTTTATATTAATTTCGTCTGTCTGACTTTGGCTACTTCTTTTATGGTTTTTGTTAAATTTCACCTTCAGAGATGTTAATAATGATGATCGTCTAAAGTGTCAACTGCGTGAACAACTTAAAAATTTCATTGAAAATACTTATCTTCCTGGGAAACTTTCTTCTCTACGTAATAAACTCCAAAGATCAATTAATTGTAAGTTCAATAGTGTTTATCATCTTAATATCCACAATAGTTCATTGTATAGTCTTAAGATGCTTCATATAATCAAGTAAGGTATTTTATTAATTGACAAGTTCCTCAAAAATCATACGAGAAATATTACACAGATGTTAATAGTAGTAATAATAGGGGAAATACTGTGAAGAGAGAATTCAAATCCTCTGCGATGTTACCATGCAAAGAAGACACCTCAAAAACACTATGTAGGATTCTCATTAATGCTGGAGGGGATTAGAGTGGCATTGAAACCTACAAACTCACTTCAAAATAAGCTTGGTAGGTTTAAAGATCCTATCGATTCATTTAGGCACATTGATTCAATTTACCAAATTGTTTGCAACGATTGTGAGGTCACGTACATAAGTCAAAGTATTCGACCAGAGTTGGTTAATTATTATTATTATTTTTATTATTAGTCCCTTGGGTTCCTAGTGGAACATACGGCTTCAGTAGCACGTCTCCAGTGAATTCTGTTCTCTGAGATCTTTTGAACCTGGTTCCACGACAGCCCACAACCTCTCATTTCCTCCTCGCACGACCTCCTACATGTCACCCTCACCTCGGACACCCAACTCGTCGCTTCCCATCGGGGTTCCACTGGAGTACCTGGCCTGGTGCGTGATGTCCCCAATCAGTCTTCTGAGTGTATGCCTAATCCATCTCCACTTCCTCCTGCATATTTGTTGACTGATAGGTTCTTGGTTGGTTCGTTTCCAGAGTTCCTTGTTGCTTATTCTTTCTGGCCATCTGATCTGATCTTCAGTAATGAGCGTAGGCAGTTGTTGATGAATGTCTGTAGTTTATTGGAAATCCCTTTCGCAACGTGCCAAGTCTCTGAGCCATACAGAAGTACTGATTTGACGTTGATGTTGGAAATCTGGATCTTGTTCCGCATGCTGAGTGCAGAAGATCTCCACACTGGTTTCAGGCTAATGAACGCTTGTCTTGCTTTTCCGATTCTGACTTCGACATCCTCGTCTGTGCCGCCTATAGTTGAAACAGTGCTTCCTAGATAGGTGTAGGTGAAGGAGGCTACTTCCTTTAAGTTTCTCTCGTTGACGGTGATTGAATTGAATTGAATTAGATATAGTTCTGTTAGGTGAAGAGATAGTAATAGGATTCCAAGACTTCTGGATACTTAGAGAGATAATTTCAGAGTGTTCGTGATATATTTCCGACCTGTTGAATGCTGCTTGAGAACTAGTCTCTTTTGTTACTTTGTCAAACAGTACAGAGAGAAATGAGTGGATTTATCACTACTTCACTTAATTTTTAGTCTAATCAGCTTTAGTAGGTAAGTAATTGACACAATCTCAATGCGAATACCAAAGGTTTGATTGGTTATTTCCAACACACTATCTAGCAACATATCTTATTGATAAAATAAGAATTGATTGAACTGTGTAGCTCTTTCACTCTCTCCTTTTATATGATTATGAGAAATAACCAGTAAAAGTGGATAACATTGGAATCCTTCAAGTGCCTTCTGAACACCGGTCATTGGAATAAGCCTTGAATTAATCTGTGAAATATCTGACTATTGTTTTAAGCCATGGACTTACAAGTTAGAGGGCAGCATTACAACTGAAACTGATGACTAGAGACTTTAATTGGTATTGCCAAGCATCGATCTCCATGACTTAAATACATCCACACTATATCTTCATTTTAACCTATGTATCATATTCATTAGTTACTGATTGACTGACTGAAGTTTTGTACAGAAAGAATAAGAAAAAAGGTACCAAGATGGCTTGGAAAACTTTTAGTTTTATTCTCAACTCTTCGCCTTCATCTTACTATTTCACTAAAAGGTAAGAAAAATATACAGTAGGATCAATCAATCAGATCTGCAAAATATTTATTAAGATATCTCATCTACTGAATGATATCATCTCATGAACTTCATAAAGAGATTCTTGATGTATCGATATTCATATCTATTATACATTTTATCAACGAAATTCTTGTCTTCATTTGGATACTTTCGACTTCACTAAAGTTAAACTTCATGTGGAAGTCTTTAATGTCAAACATGTGAAGTACAGCCGATTTATTGAAGGTGTACAATGTCGTCACTTTGTATCAGTCACCTTTCTAGTTTTTATTAGTTTCCTGTTGTTGTTGTTGTTGTGTGTTTGTTTTTTTTGCTTCCGCAAAGCCTGTCAACTCGTTTCAGTGCACTTTTGTCCAGAAATTTACATTATAGACTGTTACTATTGGAAATAGGCAATCGTGTCAAAAGGATATATTCCCATCTCTTGACAGTTGTAACAACCAGCCGTTTTCTTCTAGCCTGTAGGTAGGTACGTAGGTACGTTGTTGCAGAGGCATGTAGAACAGTGTCAGTTTAGTGGTGGGCACAAGAAACTGGAAGAGAAAAGAGTAAGAATTTGAATGCGTTACACTACTCCCCTTTCTTTGGAGGCACTGCCCTTAGTGAATGAGTGTATCTGAGTGGGTTAAAGACTAGGTATGGTGTATGAAGCTAGTTCGAGTTACATTCGAGTGGATGGCAGCTGTTGAGTGCACTTCGGTCTGACCGTAAGCTAGCCAGATCCCACTTCTGACACCAAAAGGTAACGACCAGTTGTTGATATGCTTTGATCTACCCTGTAGTTAGTTAGGTAGGTACGTTATTGTAGGGGCATGTAGAGCAGTGTGAGTGTAGTGGTGGCAACAAGAAACTAGAAGGGAAAAGAGGAAGATTTTGAATGTGTTACACAGTATTATGATGTTTGTATGTCAGTTGTATATTCATTCGCTGACACCTAATTTTGAAGTTTATTCTTATTGATTTTGTTTCTTTTACAGCTCCAGATGCTTTGACATCAGTTGTGTCGCAACAGACTATTCGTGAACTGAATCTTAGCAGACCAATTCTAATGGTAAGTGATTTTTACTCATATCCGTGTTTATGATGCTTTTTTGTGTAATAATGCAGGAACAATGTTACTTTTCCATATCTCTCCCTAGTTCGATCAGTTACACTTTGACTCTCTAGTTTATGGTTACTAGATATCATCAGTTATTTTACAGAAGACCTACGTATCATTACTATCAAACTGAAATTACAGGCGATATCAAGGTATCCGCTCAGTAGCCTACATCCCAATACACACTGGTCAAATCGTTCGAATCATCGACGGAGTAACAAAAAAAAACAATCCATCCATCCAAATCAACATAGGATCAGGCAATATTGCGTAACGATCCGAATTGCCACACCTCAAATCAGAACATCAAGTGAAAAGCCAGTGAAGTGGAAGATGGAGATTAAAAAAATTCAGTCAAAAGAAATATAAAGTATTCGAAGAGAGAAAGGAGGAATGAGAAAGTGGTGAAATTCGGTATAGTGTCGCTAAGATGACGATAATCTGTGTGGGGATACATCTGCACCACTGACATCAGTTCTGAGCCATTTCACCTACACTCAGTCTCCAACCACTGATTTCTCTTGTCTCCTGGTCCCCAATCGCCCAGTCTGCATCGCCCCCCCCCCTCCACCCCCCGCCCACATGGCTCAAACCAACAGTCAAACACTTCATAGATTGATGCCATGTTTTAGTCTGACCACATCGGGCCTTTATCCACCCTGAACCAACATTGTGTGATGATGCATGTGGCGACTAGACATACCTAACACATGTCCCAATCAGCCATCTCAGTCGATGAAGGTATACGACCGTGTCAACTGACTTACCTCTTCTCCCCAAAACTCTACACCTAACTTGTGAGTTACTCACGTGGTGACACCACGGAATGAAGCTTATACTATGATGACAGTGGTGGTCAAATACCTGAAACCTTCTCATGTCTTCTACCTTTAATTGTTATGTTTGAGAGTTGTGGAGTAGAACAGAGGAGACTGCTGTGCAGCACATATAACCCTTACTAGACGATCGGGTATGACGGCGGCACAAACAACATCATATGAACTATACTAGTTTCACAGGAATTGGCTATTATGACTCGGTAGTGTGGTGGTTAACGTTCTGGCGTTTAAAGACATCGGTCCTGGATTCGGATCCTGGTGGGAACAACATCGCTCACTTGGAAGTAATTGCCACCAGCTGATGAGTCCCAAATAAGGCGAAACACACGTTCTGCCATTGACACCTTCATGGCTCTGTTCAAGGTATGACTGATCGTCTATAAAACTGGATCACGTACTCAAATCGACGGTTTCTGCTGGCATCATCTCGTCCAGTGTTGTTACATTCCATACAGTGATTTTAACTGTTAAAACTTCAACCCATTCGGTGTAGTGGAAATCTGTGTCTCTACCAGATGAGTTACGAGACCCATCTACTGATTAGGTCTTACATTCACATCAGTCGTCGAGGTTTTTCCCTGGCTACTATATAAATGCATGATATGTGACTGCCTGATTTTCGGGATGATATTATTCACCCATCCAATTCTTTGAAAGAATGAGCATCAGATTGGTAATTGATCAGAGTATTTGAACCTGAGAACTGATAGAATTTTGAGGTAAGTTGACACTCCCCGACTCCCTACATTATGAAAGTCTCGAGACCAATCACACATGGTCTTTTTAGAAGTTTGGGATATATTGTTTGTTAACTTTGAATCTGATAATGAACCCAGATCAGCGCCAGTGGTATACCACAGGGCTGATTTTAGAGTCGACCTTTACTAACCTTCACTCATTTTCAGTTGTGAAAGCAGCATCGGCATGGGACTACTGTCACACCTTCTTCCAACTAATAGTACAGCTTCGCATTCGGATTTGATCATAGCAACAAGGGTTTACACTATAACGCTACCTGATTTTTGTTGAACTAACAAACCTTTCCGGTATGTTAGGACATCGAAAGAACAAGCGTTCTATCAGAATAGCTTGTGATATGCAAGCCCAACCACCACATCAAAGTAGCAGTTATCGATCGAGAAAGTTATAGTTCGGCAGACTGGTTTTATTGACACAGTTGACAAATGATGGAGAAATAAAAACATTGGTTTGTTGCAAGATTTGTACCGGTAGCGTTTGGATTAGATATTCTTACAGAGGTTTCCCTCTCGTCACCTAATTACACAGACGTTGACCTGATCACAGGTGAATTTTCTTTAGATCTAGAATATGCAGATGACATAGTCCTGTTAGGTGAAGACGACGCTGACAAGATGCAGAGTCTTCTAAACACTTTGAGTGGGAATTTGAGAATGTTTGGGATGCGATTTTCACCACCCAAATGCAAATTTTTGCTCCAGGGCTAGTCTTCAGCGGTACCACGGCTAACAATAGAGAGTGAAGTGGTTGAGTGTGTTGACCACTTCACTTACCTGGGAAGTAGGATCAACCCCGGTGGGTTAGTTGCCGATGAGATTTCTGCACGGATACAAAAGGTTCGATTGGCTTTTGCCAATTTGCGCCACCTATGGCGCCGCCGTGATATTCGTTTGCCTATTAAGGGTCGTGTGTACTGCACAGCAGTCCGCTCTGTTCTACTGTATGGCTGTGAAACATGGCCATTGAAAGTGGAGGATACAAAAAGGCTTCAGGTGTTTGACCACCATTGCCTTCGTAGTATAGGACGTATTCTGTGGTGTCACCATGTGAGTAATGCAGAAGTTAGGTGTAGAGTTTTAGGGAGAAGAGGTAAGTCAGTTGACGAGGTTGTGAACCTTCATCGACTGAGATAGCTGGTTGGGACACGTACTACGTATGCCTAGTCACCGATTGCCTCGTCACACAATATTGGCTGCAGTAGGTCCAGACTGGAAAAAGGCCCGAGGTGGCCAGACCAAAACATGGCACCAATGTATGAAGCCTCTGACTGTTGGTTTCAGCCATGTGGGACGATGCAGACTAGCCGGTTGGGGTCCACGGGACAAGAGGAACCAGTGGTTGAAGACTGACTCTAGGTGATATGTCTCAGAACCCATCTCAGTGGTGCACATGTATACACACATTATCTTCATCTTAACTACACTATACCGAATATCACCATTTTCTCATTCTTCCTTTCTCTCTTCTAATACTTCATATTTCTTTTGATTGAATTTTCTTATCTCCATCTTTCACCTCATTACCTTTCTACTTGATGTGCTGATATGAGGTGTGGCAACTCGGACCGTTATGCAGTAATGCCTGGTCCTATGTTGATAATGATGATGATGATGATGGAATTACTGGTATCGCTCATTACCCATCTGGCCAGGTCTTAACTCCTCTGTAATTGTCTTCAGTGATCACCCGTATCAATAATACTGGTCTACTAAACCACGGCCATCTTAGATAGTCTCAAACAAATTGTATTTTAATATTATATAAATTATCGTATTATGTTCTGTCTATGGTATTTTTGTTACACTTTAATATTTACCAAAATTAGATTGTTCATACTGTGGATCAGTGTCTCGAAGAAGTACGAAAAATGTCTATTGCTTTACCGGAATATGCAAATGGTTGTCTACCGATTGGTTTAACGATATTGGATGATTTTATCACTGCTGCTTGGAGGTTGTATAAAAGTAAGTCGTTGTCGGCTTTTAGGACTATTAACTCAAGTCTTTGACTTTGAATAGTGACCTTGAAAAAAGCAGTCAAAGTGCGGTCGGTAGTACAGTTGTTCTTGTTGGTTAAAAAAATCTTACAAAGAGCTTGTTACAAACTATATCGATAGGATGATGTGCTGTTGTGATGATGATAAAGTCTTGGATATCCTAGTAACCACTGAAGTGTAATGCCAATATAAACGGGTTACGTCATCGTTCCGTAATGGTTAGTTAGGTTTATACCCCGTAGATTTTTGGAGAAGAATAGCATATGGGAAATCTACCACTACTGTACTATTGGAGATGATCATAGACACCGACGACTGAAAACCCCACAAATGCATAAAATAATGTGGTTACGACCACGATATCATCGTTTACAATTATGACTTCGTGAATCCTTTGATAGGTGCCCGTATCAAATCTATATAGAAATTCATCATCAATATATTTTAATCATTTTTCCCATATAAAAATCTTACATGATCTATATTCCTTTTCTCATTGGTCCATTTGTGCACGTTCAAGGTCACTCGACTCAAGGACATCAGAATTGTTGGAAGGACATGACATACTACTGTGCTCACTTTAATCTTATCCTCAGGCAAACAGGAGTGGTATCATTAATCAATATTATGTTGTATGTATGTGTGGCTGCAAAGTTGAGTATGGGAATCTAAATTTTACTTCCACTTAACCATCAAGTATATTGTCATACAGATTCAACTCCTGTCCTTACCTACTTTTGTCTAGACATTTAAATAGATTGTATTATTTTTCCTCAGGGCAGTAAATATAATGGTTAGCTTTTATGACTAATTTTTTTTTTCCCTAACTGCTGTCTATCATTCTTAATATTTAAAAACATTTTATGAGTCAACGGAGTTAATTAAACATGGCGCTTACTTATTTTCTTTCACTGAACAATTGAAATGAAAGATGACCAATTGTTATATTCATAATCGGCTGGTATTATACTTTCTGTTTATTTGAACATTTCACTAGATATACGATGTAAAAGACAAACTACAATACGTTTATTTTCATTTATTACTATTATTTGAAGATTATTTTCTTGATAAGACTGACTGACTGTAGGTAAACAGTAATTACAATACAAACAGCCGGACGAAATCAATGTAGGACCTCATACACAGGTGAATTGGCTCAATTTACCATATTTCACAATAGCATACAAGTAACTGAGTACAACCTATAAAACATTGAACAAAGAAGTGAAGAAGAGTGCGCGAATAGACAAAAAACACTTCTACGACTCACTTGCAAATGAAGCAGAACAGGCTGCAGGTAAGAGAGACCTCACAACACTAACCAAGTAACTAGGTTACTAACTGAGAGCGAATAGATCAACATAGATGAAACCAATGCAAGATAGTAAAGGAAACTTAGTTACCAAGGAGGAGAAACAGAGAAAACGACGGAATGACCACGACAAAAGACGAAGTCCTGAACCCCATAAAGTTGCTGAAATCTGGGAAAGCAGCAGGACCAGATGGAATTCCTCCACAAGCATTGAAAACAGACATACAGACAACAGCGGATATGCTCACATCACTATTGCAGAAGGTTTGGAAAGCATGCAGGAAGGAAAGGTACCTGCTCATTGATTGGAAGAAGGGCTATCTTGTCAAACTCTTAAGGAAGAGCGGCCTAAGTCTTTGCAAGAACTTGCGCGGAATCACATTCCTGTCCACCCGAAGCAAAATATTAAGCCGCATCATCTTGGAGAGATTAAAAGATGCGCTGGATTCAAAATTCCAACCGGAACAGGCTGGATTCAAAAAGTACAAATAATGTGCGGATCAACTTGCAACGCTACACTACGCATCATCATAGAAAAAATCATAGGATACCAGTCAACTGAATCTTTACCACAACTTCATCCACTTTGAAAAGGCCTTCGATCCAGGAGTCGACCGACAAGTAAGTTGCCAACTGCTTCAACACTACCCTTTTAGTACCACAAATCTCTGTCAACCTCATTCAACAGTAACTGTTTGCTATATGAGGATGCCAAATGCCAAATGATTCACAATGCAAACCTCAATGATGATGAATTTGAAGTGAAGACAGGAGTAAGACAAGACTGGTGCCTACTATCATCACCAATGATCTTCCTGATTGTGGTCGACTCCAATGGAGTGGACTGGTTCATACAACAGACAACTAACTGTGAGAAGATGGGCATATACTGGTTGGACCGATGAAAAGACCCGAGAAGAAGATTTGGATTCCACCAACCATGATGATTTATGTCTCATGTTTAGTGTCGTACAAACTTGAAGATGTACAGGTGAAAACCAATGAGTTGACAGAAGAAGCAACGGAGACAGAGGGGACTTTCTTCAAGTGAACGTAGAGAAGGCCGAGCCTACCATAGCCTACGAGCAATACGAACCTAACGCGCAGAGAATCGTTCCTGACGTAAATCAGAACGCCAACCAACCACAACATAACCACCGACGCGCGAAAAGAAAACAGACCGTTGACAGAAAGCTTTTTTTACCTCATCAACAGTCAATACATGGTAATTTAGTTGGTTGTGGTTAGCAGAGAAATGCAGGGCGCGTGTCTCGTCCTTTTTGAGACTCGTCAGCTGGATGTACGTGCACCCCAGTGAATGATGGCGTTCCCACCAAGACTCAAACCTCTTACCCACCACTTCAAACGCCATAGTGTTATCTACTGTGCCACAGAGAAATGATAGCCACGTCTTGTACAACGGGTAGTAATTATTACTATTTATTGCCTTGCTTGCAATTCTCTATTGTTCTACTGGATCGAATTGTTCGACCTCTGTTGTCATAGTGGATAATGCCTTGGCGTTTGAAGCGGTGGGTACGAGGTTTCAGTCTCGGTAGGAACAACGTCACACCCGGCTGACGAGTCTAAAGTAGGACGATACGCGCACCCTGGATCCCTCAGCTAGCCACAACCAACTAAATGACTATAACTGACATTCAGGCAATATCGAGGCATCCTCATAGGAGCTCATATGCCAATAGACGTCGAACAATTCGATCCAATAAAATAATAGAGAATTACAAGTATATCAATAAATAGTAATAACAGTCAATACGATTGGCAGTGATGCTGAATATATATACAATTCTAAATGACCTTGACGACACTAAATCCACACATAAGTAACAACCAATTAAAGTTCAACCTTGAGACTAGAGTGAAGAAAAAGTAGTAACGGTGCTAAAACAGCTATGTAGGTTAAGGTCATGGGAAAACAGTAAGCAATAGCTAAGCAAGTTTAGGGGTATATTATTATTATTTGTCCCTTAAGTTCGTAGTAGAACATTGGGCTTCAGTAGCACGTCCCCATTCCACTTTGTTCTCTGCAATCTTTTGAACCTGGCTCCACGACAACCCAGAAGCTCTCATTTCTTCCTCACATCATCTCCTCTATGTCACCCTCGCCTCGGACACCCAACTCATCGCTTCCCATCTGGTTTCCACTCGAGTACCTGGCCTGGTGCATGAAGTCCCCAATCGGCCTTCTGAGTGTATGCCTAATCCATCTCCACTTCCTTCCAGTGCATATTTGTTGATCGATAGGTTCTTGGTTGGTTCGTTCCCAGAATTCCTTGTTACTGATTCTTTCTAGCCATCTGATCTTCAGTAACGAGCCATCGTAGGCAGTTGTTGATGTCTCTAGGACTATACAGCTTAATAATCCAAATGTAATATGTTTTTAATCTAAGAACAATATATGTCTTGATAATTAAATTAAACTTTTCTCCTTCTGCTGTTGTCCTTCTTTGCGTTGATTTTTCATGTTATATTTTATCAGTAGTATTCAGTATACATTATTTCAGTTCTGTGAAGTAGCTTAACATGAGTTATGTGATTTTTCTACTCAATTTTACCACAACACCTAGTTATTCACAGTTAGATTCAACCATGTGACTAGATAGATTCATATAAACAATAAACAATTCATTTATCTCAGTAAAATAGTCCTGTTTTTTTAGTTCAAGTATCATCTAATTGATCCGGTTTTTAATATGGGTTCTATTTTATTTTTCATTTTCACTATTTGTCCTTTGGGTTCCTAGTGGTACATAGGGCTTTAGTAGCACGTCGACATTTCACTGTCTTCTCTTTAGTCTTTTGTACGTGGCTCCACGACTGCTTAGAAGCTTTCATTTCTTCTTCACTCACCATCTCCTCCATGTCACCCTCGGACACCCAACTCATTGTTTCCTAGTTAGCTGCTACTCGACGGCCTGAACTGACATGTGCTGTCCCCACACTGTCCTCTGCATATTTGTTGGGTGATAGGTTCTTGGTTGGTTGGTTCGTTGTCAGGCTAGAATCCGTTGTTGCTTATTCCTTTTGGCCATCTTATCTTCAGTATCGAGCGTAGATGCTTTCTATGTAACTACTTATTCCAAGTGTTCTCAACTCATCATTTTTTCTTTACTCTTATCTAGGTATAGGTGAAGTTGAAAAAGGTGGTGTTCTGGCTGTGCCCAGTTCTGAATGGTCAAAAGATGATGATGTCAGTCGATTTTGGAAGTGAGTTCTTACATAAAAATCTTAATATGATATTCAATTATACTATTATCATTTTGACTTCTATCTGAAACAGCCGTGGTTTGACAGAATAGTATTGATACTGGGTGATAATTGAAGATGAAATGAAACTCTGGGTCGTGACGATATTCGAACCACCGACCCCTTCTCTAATTCAGTTAAATTTGAACTGGGATGACAAGTCCTGACTAGTCAGCCAGTGTAAGTGTACGATCAAGTGGTAGCAAAGCGTTACGAATTCACATAGTAGTCGGGCAAAACCCTTGGTGAATGAAGCGAAATAAAAAATCTGGTCAGTAGTCGGATCTCGTAGCTGAGTTTTTATAACACTGAGCTTGAAATCCGGTTGTCTGTGATTCGAATCCGACCTCAGTCCAAATATTCATTTCATCTTCAATCATCACCTAGTATAAGATTATATAAGTTGCACAGTTGCTGCAGTCTTCTCCACCTGGCTCCACGACTGCGCAGAAGCCTTCACTTCTCCTTAACACAATCTCCTGCATGTCACCCTTACAGGCCCAACTTGTCGTTTGCCATTTCGGTTCCACTCGACGGCCTGGCCTGACGCGTGATGTCCCCACACCGTCTCCTTAGTGTATGTTCAATCTAATCCATCTCCACTTTTTTCTGCATACTTGTTGGGCGATAGGCTCTTAGTTCGTTGCCAAGCTATAATTCCTTACTACTTATTCGTATTATTCCGGCTATCTGATCAGTATAGAGCGAGCGAGCGTAGGCGGCAGCTGTTGAACGTGTATGTCTGCAGTTTGTTGGAAATGCTTTTCGTGTCGTGACATGTCTCTCAACCATCACACAGAAGCACTCACTTACTTGACTGACATTAGTGTGGAAAATCTGGATCTTATTCGCGCTTTATGCTGAGTGTAGTTGAATGGAGTAGATCTCCACACTGATTTCAGATTAATGAAGGAAGGCCTGTCTTGTTGGCTTTCCGATCCTGGCTTTGACATCGTCATCTGTGCCTGTGCCACCTGTAGTTGAGACGATGTCGCCTAGGTAGGTGGGTGAACGGGACAACTTCCTTTCGATTTCTCTCGTTCATGGTGATTGGTGTCACTTGTTGTTGTTTAGTTATTAGTTGGGTATCTTCATCCCCTCTTCCTTTTCTACGTTCACTTGAAGAAAGTCCCCTCTGTCTCCGTTGCTTCTTCTGTCAACTCATTGGTTTTCACCTGTACATCTTCAAGTTTGTACGACACTAAACATGAGACATAAATCATCATAGTTGGTGGAATCCAAATCTTCTTCTCGGGTCTTTTCATCGGTCCAACCAGTATATGCCCATCTTCTCACAGTTAGTTGTCTGTTGTATGAACCAGTCCACTCCATTGGAATCGACCACAATCAGGAAGATCATTGGTGATGATAGTAGGCGTCAGTCTTGTCTTACTCCTGTCTTCACTTCAAATTCATCATCATTGAGGTTTGCATTGTGAATCATTTGGCATTTGGCATCCTCATATAGCAAACAGTTACTGTTGAATGAGGTTGACAGAGATTTGTGGTACTAAAAGGGTAGTGTTGAAGCAGTTGGCAACTTACTTGTCGGTCGACTCCTGGATCGAAGGCCTTTTCAAAGTGGATGAAGTTGTGGTAAAGATTCAGTTGACTAGTATTCTATGCTCTGTTCTATAATGATGTATAACGTTACAACATTTTAATCCAGTTTTTTTTATTACTTTCTTTTTCAGAAAATTTCCTTCATGGCAACGTATGGCTACACAAGAAGCACGTTTATTAGCTAATAATACAATTATGGAGAGTACATTTAATAAAAAACGACATTGTACAACTACTACAATTAATGATGAAACATTAAAGAATAAATCAATTGATATATACAATTCATTAGAAGAACAAAAATCGATCAATACTAGAGATAATAAAACTTGTGATAATGATACTATAATTACACCAGTCTGTGCAATTGCTTTAGGTTTATACAACAATGATATCAATAGTAATACCAATACAACAGCTATAATACCATTTGCTAATGGATTAGCAAATCATACAGATAATACAGATAACGCTGATAAAGGCTTAGAATATATGGTATATATTGTCTTGTTATTCTATTGATTGTATTATTAGAATTGTTTGTTTTTATCCTATAGATCATTTGTTCGAACCCCGTCTTATCTAACTCAGGTAGAGTTGTCTATTGCATAGAAGTTCATATGGTTACGTGAGTGCATCAATCTGTCTGAGATTTGACAGTTAAAAAAAATGTTTTTACAACAGCAATGAAGTATCCGTACAAATCTACTACATTATAGAAGATGGAGCAAGAAATCAGTATCTTGGTTGTATTGGGTTCTCTGAGCTGGGTTGGTTAATTGTGGAGCTTTCATTGTCTTTCGTCTAGACTACATTATCACCACTAACTTCAGTATTCAGTGAACCGTTAATATCTCTCCGTCACCCACTCAGTAGCTTACCCTGATCAACTGGTTGATGATTGGTTGTTTTCTTTGATTGTTGTGTCATGGACTATGTAGATTTTCTTCTTGGATGTTCCTCTACTTCACCTCTGACCTTTCTTTTTGGTTCATAGATGGGGTCTATGTCTATACATGTATTGATTGCTGACTGACTGACCTGAATGCCAAGCTTCTACAAATTCTCTCATATTCTTTCTCTTTCTTCTCTCCATCCAACACTTCTACACTGTCGGAATTGAATTCTTATCCATAGTTGTTTCCACTTGCCAATTAGTGTTCATGTAAACGAAGGCCGAAAAGGGCGACCACTTTGTTCAATGTAGTCTTGACCATGACATTTCATCACTCATTTCAATGCACGTGAATTACAACTATGGGCATGAATCGAATTTTGGCAATGTAAAATGTTGCATAGAGGGAGGAAACACGAAGAATATGAGAGAATTCGTAGAAGCTTGGCATTCAGGTCAGTCAGTCAGCAATCAATACATGTATAGACATAGACCCCATCTATGAACCAAAAAGAAAGATCAGAGGTGAAGTAGGAGAACATCTAACAAGAAAATCTACATAGTCCATGACACAACAATCAAAGGAAACAACCAATCACCAACCAGTTGGTCAGGATAAGCTACTGAGTGGGTGACGGAGAGATATTGACGGTCCACTGAATACTGAAGTTAGTGGTGGTGGTGGTGGTGGTTATGTCGTCTAGAAGGAAGGTGGTGAAGGCTCCACTACTAAACAACCCAACTCATTGAACACAATATAACGAAGACCATCCATCTGAGGTACAAGTATTCTTCACCATTTGAAAAACTGTATTGTCTTACTGCACTGCCCTGAAGTAAGGTAGATACCTTTAATTGAAGCATTTTTGTGCAAGTTTCTAAGTTTAGTTGTCTTGATGATTAAAAGTACTATTGATTGTCATCTGTAAGGTAGTACATTTCGAATAATCTAATCATACATTCAGCCGACAACTCAATATATATACTATACTATATATATACTAGAGCGCAGGTACATACTGCTGACAAGTCCGAAGTAGGATGAAATGCGCGTCGTAGATTTCACTGCGTCACTAAGGTGAATATTGATGCTCATTTTTATTTTTATTGTATTCCTCACACATAATTTTACTATTGAATTAATAATTCAGTGTACAATTGCAATCAGTTTGAAAAATAATGTGCATAGTTATGTTATGCTTGATTAAAGCTCAAGAAGAGCATACACTGTCAAATTGGACAGTTTTTAAATCTGGACAAGGATGTATTGATCAAATTTTCACTCTATAACAGGTTTTAGACATACATATCTTCACCTAACACTTGTTACATATCTAAACTTGAAGATGACAGTCGAGTTTATCGATCGAGAAGTGTTGTGGTAGTGTTTGACTAGGAGCAGCATGTATAGCATACTGATCAATGCAATCTACGCGAATTTATGCAGCCGTATAAAGGCTTAGAAGAGAGTTACTGTCTGAAGTCATAACATCCAATGATGTTTGCCAAGAATACCAATTGTCACTGTTCTTTTTCAATCTCCGACTTTACAATAATCGATTTAATTCCAAGAGGTCACCTAGTTGATTTAAGAGTACACAGAAGACACATTGGATGTGTCTCGTGGAATTACACATTAACAACATGGAATTCGTGTTAAAGTCTTAGGTTAAAAAATAATAAGTCACTTGATGAAGTGACAAACCTTCATCGATTCCAGTGACAGGAGGATGTATTATGCATATCGAGTCACTATCCTACTCTGTTACGCAGTGTTAAAGGAAGTAGGTTTAGCCTGGGGGAAAGATCAAAGACAGTCAGAATAAAACTTGACATCAATCCATAATATGTCTCTGACGGTTGCTTTCAGCTTTTTAAGGGAACCTGTTATTCCAAATTGGCGTCCATGTGACAAACAAAGTCGATGACTGTACACTGTAGGTAAAACGACTTAGAATAAAGCTTATTGTCTACAGGTTGATATTCATCATGGAGTCACATCAGTTGGAAAAACTATTGAAAACCTAGGAGCATTTAATAGCTATCTCGTCCTAGTATAGAGCTCTTCAACGGTTCGGACTCATGAATCCGTTTTCCAACTGATGTCAGTCAATGATGAATACCAACCTGAAGTCAATAAATCTCTACAAAACTCAAAATTGAAAGCTTATTGGTCTAAATGCATGTATACATTATCTTCATCTTAGTCAACATATCCTAGTTCGCTATTCGCCTTATCCTGACAGTCTGAATTGTTATGCCAGATCCCGTGTTAATAATAACTTACCTATATTCCTAGTTCTTCTAATCACTTTCATATTGTTCGTCACATTTTCATTATTCCACTTATCGAGTTCCTTTCTGTTTGTGCTCTTATTTTTTAAGAATATTGTATGTATTGAAGCTGCACGTTACATGCTACTGATTATAATGAGCAGTGTTAGGTCACTTACATCGATCATCAGCAGTGTTCGCTAGCCAGGCGAAAGTGATCCAAGTAGCAGAGGTCATAAATTCAACTCTATAAACTGAATTGATCTGCGTACAATGCTGATGAGCTCGCCCCCCCCCCCAAACGGATGAAATGGTCTTCCAATGTCTACTTGACCTTCAAATGGCTAGCAAACAGTACTGATCGGTGTATGTGACCTTGAACTGCTCATGTCAGTTAGCGATATATTACGTGAAGCTTCATGCTCGAAATCTTGACACTATGTATGATATCAAACAGATCATATTATGCAAGATTTTTCATTATGAATTGTGTATTTTTACTACTGCCTAATTTACATCTGTATTTATTTTATGTTAAACAGCGTCTACATGGAATAATTCATGAACGTGAAGCAACAAGGCTAGCTGTTGCTGAAACTGATCAACTAATCCATATGATAAAAGATGAATTGCCTGAGAGTGATAATAAATCTGATCAAATTTTACCTACTCTACGTAATATTCAATTAATTAAAGTTTTAGGCCGATTAAGTGAATCCATGGTAAGTTTAAGTATTATATAGATATATCTGATTTTGATATGAGATTGTTTTGGTTAGTTTACTTCAATCAATCAATATCAACATAGGACCAGGCATTACTGTGTAACGTTCCGAGTTGCCACACCTCATATCAGCACATCAAGTAGAAAGGTAATGAGGTGAAAGATGGAGATAAGAAAATTCAATCAAAAGAAATATGAAGTATTAGAAGAGAGAAAGGAAGAATGAGAAAATGGTGATATTCGGTATAGTGTAGTTAAGATGAAGATAATGTGTGTATACATGTGCACCACTGAGATGGGTTCTGAGACATATCACCTAGAGTCAGTCTTCAACCACTGGTTTCTCTTGTCCCGTGGACCCCAACCACCTAGTCTGCATCGTTCCACATGGCTCAAACCAACAGTCAGAGGCTTCATACATTGGTGCCATGTTTTGGTCTGGCCACCTCGGGCCTTTTTCCAGTCTGGACCTACTGCAGCCAATATTGTGTGACGAGGCAATCGGTGACTAGGCATACGTAGTACGTGTCCCAACCAGCTATCTCAGTTGATGAAGGTTCACAACCATGTCAACTGATTTACCTCTACTCCCTAAAACTCTACTCCTGACTTTTGCATTACTCACATGGTGACACCACGGAATACGGTATGTGCCACGAAGGCAACGGTGGTTAAACACTTGAAGCCTTCTCCTATCTTCCACTTTTAATAGCCATGTTTCACAGCTATAGGGTAGAACAGAGCGGACTGCTGTGCAATACACGCGACTTTTAATAGTTCACTTAAGCATCATTCACTGTGTAATTACATAATTTTACGTTTTTTTTTATTGATTTCAAGTTGGTATTCATCATGAACAGATATCAGTTGTAAAAAAACATTGAGAACTTAGGGAATACTGGCCAAATGTTTCGTCCTAGTGTAAAACTCCTCAGCAGTGGGTACTCTGGACCTTTCTTAGTTAATAATGGAAGTTGTTATGACTTATCTGGCTCCAGTTGTCTTAGGCGCATGCCGATTCATTCTTAACACTGACTTCCCACGTGATTGTCTTCGAATACACATGACCAGTCTAGCGTATACACAATTCACCTACACGATGAGTAGTGCAATTCAGACCTCTCAACCACGTTAAAGAGAACATAAAGGCTGGTGGTTATTTTTCTAACTATTTCAGGCAATCTGATTTATGCATGTAAATATACAACTAAATTTCAAACACACTTAGTCCCTTTTTTATGAATTTCGATAGCGTAATTAGAAGACGAAGCTTATCTGAACAATGTGATGAATTTGTACAGTACATTTCGAAATGGAGGAGAATATTTGTAGTGCAGATGGATGGTCTTGCTTGTATTGTGTTGTCTGAGTTGAGTTGTTTAGTCGTAGAGCTTTCATTGTCTTTCTAGACAACATCATCAGCATTAAATTCAGACCAATTGGCTATTAAACGTCATGTCACTTCATCACTCATTTCAATGCACGTGAATTACAACTATGGGCATGAATCGAATTTTGGCAATGTAAAATGTTGCATAGAGGGAGGAAACACGAAGAATATGAGAGAATTCGTAGAAGCTTGGCATTCAGGTCAGTCAGTCAGCAATCAATACATGTATAGACATAGACCCCATCTATGAACCAAAAAGAAAGGTCAGAGGTGAAGTAGAGGGACAGACAACAAGAAAATCTACATAGTCCATGACACAACAATCAAAGGAAACAACCAATCACCAAGCAGTTGGTCAGGGTAAGCTACTGAGTGGGTGACGGAGAGATATTGACGGTCCACTGAATACTGAAGTTAGTGGTGGTGGTGGTGGTGGTTATGTCGTCTAGAAGGAAGGTGGTGAAGGCTCCACTACTAAACAACCCAACTCATTGAACACAATATAACGAAGACCATCCATCTGAGGTACAAGTATTCTTCACCATTTCAAAAACTGTATTGTCTTACTGTACTTCCCTGAAGTAAGGTAGGTACCTTTAATTGAATCATTTTTGTGCAAGTTTCTAAGTTTAGTTGTCTTGATGATTAAAAGTACTATTGATTGTCATCTGTAAGGTAGTACATTTCGAATAATCTAATCATACATTCAGCCGACAACTCAATATATACTAAGTATAAGAATGGGAAGACAAATACAATAATTAGCACAATAAGGGACTAAAATTAAGAAAGATGAAAACAAACAGGAAGTGACATGGTTAACCGCAATCTTCACAAGAAAACAAATTTTACCAAGGTAGGTAGATGTAGTGTAAGAACAAATGGCTTTTGTACACACATAGGTCGTTTCAATTTGTTTCTGGTTATGTCTTCCTCAAATTTCACTACACATCCCTGAATGACCGTCTCTATATAAAACTTTGAAGTATGTTTGAACACTAACTTTGTGACCTGTTTCTATGATATGTTTAGCTATAGATAAAGAGGGTCGTGTCCCACCAGTGTTTATCATGTTTTCACACTCCATATGTTCTTGAAGCTATTTAGGTACATATTCTCTCACCCTCAACTGCATGACTCGATTACTACTCCCTATGTATGTCACATACACACATACACACACACACACACACATGTAAATTGGTGAACACAGTGGGATGTGACATAATCATTGAAGCAATGTTTAGGTTTTTGGTGAAGCATTTATTCAATTCCCCTCTGCATGGTATGTGATATGGACGCCTATCTCAGAAACCATGTAAAGAGTTGACTTCGGTGCTACTTGACCTTTACAACGGTTTATAAACTTCAACGGATATCCGTCCTCCACAAATATTTCTGTCAGTAATTTGAAGTCTTCATTCGTCGTATCTGATGTACTGACATGATAGATCCTATTAAACAGGCATTTCATTAGACCTTGCTTGTATTGGACAGATTATCATTATTATTATTATTTGTCCTTTGGATTCCTAGTGGAACAGAGGGCTCCAGTAGCACAGCTCCAAATCATCGGCGAAATCCAAAACTTCTAGGGTCTTTTCATCAATCCAGCCAGTGGATGCCCATCTTCTCGCTCCTCCCAGTTAGTTGTCTATTGCATGATCCAGTCCACTCCAGTGGAGTCGACCACAATCAGGAAGATCATCGGTGATAGTAGACGGCAACCTTGTTTTACTCCTGTCTTCACCTCAAATTCATCATCATTGAGGTTTGCATTGTGAATCACTTGGCATTTGGCATCCTCATATAGCAAACAGTTACTGTTAAATGAGGTTGATAAAGATTTGTGGTACAAAAAGGGTAGAGTTGAAGCAGTTGGCAACTTACTTGTCGGTCGACTCCTCGATCGAAGGCCTTTTCAAAGTGGATGAAGTTGTGGTAAAGATTCAGTTGACTGGTATTCTACGCTCTGTTCTATGATGATGCGTAAGTGTAGCGTTACAATTTTATGGGCACATGATTTGTTCTTCCTAAAGTCAGACAGCCTGTTCCGGTGATAATTTTGAATCAAGAGCATTGAAATTTAATCTCTCCAGGATGATGCGGCTTAATATTTTGCTTGGGGTGGACAGGAGCATGATTCCGCGCCAGTCCTTTCAGACTTAGGTCTCCCTTGTTTATAAGTTTGACAAGACAGCCCTTCTTCCAGTCAATGGGTAGGAACCTTTCCTTCCTTCCTTCCAAACCTTCTACAATCGTGGTGTGAGCATGTCCGCTGTTGCCTGTGCGTCTGCTTTCAGGGTTTCTGGCAGAATTCCACCTGGTCCTTCTGCTTTCTCGGATTTCAGCAACTTCATGGCGTGGCGTTCAGAAGTTCTGCTTTTCTTGGAGGGCTTACGTTCACTGACAGTTCTGTGGCTGGGCTGCTGGTGGAATTTCGGGGCGAGTTGCATGTGATGGTGGTGGTTGATTTAAGAGTTTTTTGAAGTGGTCAGCCCATTATTTCCTTCGTTTCTCTACTTTGGTAACTAGCTTTCCCTCACTATCTTTCATTGGCTTCATCTGTGTTGATCTCTTCCCTCCCAGATAGTAATGTAGTTATTTGATACAATGCTGTCAGGTCTCTCCTACCAGCAGCCTGTTCTGCCTCATTTGCAAGTAAGTCGTGGAAGTGTTTTTTGTCTTTGCGTGCACTCTTCACTTCTTTGTCCAGTGTAGTGTCTTATACGTTATACTCAGTTTCCCCTTTCGTTCTTCACCCTTGCTCTGGTTTATTTTCTACTTCACTATCTTCCTCTCCCTCCTCCATCAGCTTCATGTGTCCGTGAAGATTCATTCCTTGTCTCACTTCGTCTTCCTTCCTAACACGGTTATGCAGGTTTCCTTCCACCTCGCTTTCAAAGAGTTCCAGTGTTCTTACACGCAGGTTTCCTCAGGGATGTTGCTCAATGTCTCCCATTTTATCTTGATGGCTGACGCGTAGATGTCTCTTGTAGATTCGTCTTTCAGTTTCTGTTCTGGGTGTTGAACTTGAACTGTGGCATATCATCAACTTCTTTGAAGGCTTTCAACTTGATATTGTAGATAGGTAGGTTCCTTGCACTAGATAGTGAGTGGTATGAACCTGCATCTGCTCCTCTCTTTGATCATATGCCCAGGAGGTTGCGTTTCCACTTTCTTCACATTGACTTAAAGTCGATCTGATTTTTAGTGTGTCCTAGTGTCTGGTGAAATCAAATTCATGTCGCTTTGTGTCTATCCTTGTGTTTGTACACACTGCCTCCAATCACCAAATCATTAAATGCGCAGAAGTCTACAAACAGTTCTCCATTCTCGTTCATTTTACCAAGTGCTTCTCGACTCATGATTGGTTCTCTTCCTGTGTTGTCCGCTCCGAGTCTGGTAATCATGCTACCCATTAGAATTTTGATGTGGCCATCTGGGGTGGGGTTTTGTCCATTACTGATTGCAGTTGTCTGTAGAATTCCTCCTTCTTCTCTTGATCTGCATTATTTGTAGGTCCGTTGCGTAGTATTGTATGATTGTGACTTTCCTTCCTTTTGAGTGGAATCCTTCTTGCTGTCATGATCCCAAAAGGGGGAGAC